TACCAGCATCGATCAGTTTATACATTCTTTTTGCACACATGTACTGTTTTCTCCTGAAGCCTAAGTCCTAAAGAGAAGGAGCATTTTGCAAGTTAAAAGTTGCAGGCCTTTCACAGAGTGCAGACTCTGGATGCCGTGGTTTACTGGAGGCGCTGTGGTTGTATTGATACAGTGTTTCATCACTGTTATGAAATAGCTGAGGCAACTAACTTATAATGAGAAAAGGTTTGTTTTGGCTCCTGATTCTGGAGGTTCCAGTCCAAAATCAAGTGGTCTCATTGATTTAGTTTGCTTTGTGGCTAGAAAGCACAGAGAAAGAGGGGGTAGATTTCAGCTCCCTTTGAGGGCACAGTCCCCACAACTCAAGGGCCTCCTACAGGGGTCACACCACTTCCCTAAAGCGCCACCCAGGACCAAGCCTTGAACACGTGCCCCTGGGGAAGTCTAATGCACAACCCATAGCAGTGGAGTTCTGTGTATCCGCCCCTACCAGCTTCCCATGGCAGCACACACAGCCCTCTTCAGAAGACTGTGGAGGAAGCTGCTCCAGTCAGGCTCTCTGTCACACTCTGGGAGCTGGAAGCACCTGGCAGCTTCTGCCCCAGAGTCCTGTAAGCCCAGGTCCTGCTTCAGGTTGGGCCCAACCCCGCGAGTCATTTCCCTTCTGAGCTCTGCTGAGAGTCCACTCAGCCTGGGCTTGCTTGAAAACGCTTTGCTGTTTGGCTTCTTTCCCTTCTCTGTCCCTCTCCACTTTCTCCCGTAATACACACCTTCCCTAGGACAGAGCTCACCACAAAGCATTCGCCTTTCATGGGAGGGCACATAGTAAACCTAGCTTTCCTCCGCTCCTCCCCACCCCCTGCCCAGCCTTAGTTCCTCTCTCTCTTCCCCGCCCTCCCTTTCTCAGTCCCTCTACCTTAGCCCAGGAAGAGGGCAGTGGATCCCCACAAAGTCCACATGAAGTGGTGGCCTTTGATACAGTCTTTTTACGGGATTTATTTTACTAACTTTCCAGTGAGACTGATCGCATAGATTTCCTTGTTCCTCATAGGTATTTTGTACCTATTTAAATAAAACAACAGGCATAGTTTTGCAAGATTAGTGCTCGTGGCACACACTTGTAGCAGACTGGGAGTCCTCAGGGACTTGGGAAAGCTCTCTAGCCGCTGGTGCCCGCCGGCCCGGCCAGCACACCTCCCACAGCAGGTGCGGGCGGCCACAGCCCAGAAACACCTGGGGTGAGCCTGGGGCCGTCTGGCTGCTCCGCATCGTCTGAAAGGCAGTAACAACTGCGGCGGAGGATTAACCATATGCCACTTAATTCCTGTTAATCGGGGTTGAGGGGAGCTCCGGCTTGTAAGTAGCAGATGAGCCGAAGGCTGTCCTGCCGGCCGGCCGGCCGGGCTGTGCTCACAGACGAGCTGGCCCAGCGCACGCCGGGCTCCCGCCGCCCCGGCCTTCGCCCCGCTTCTCTGGCTCTCTCCGCTCCGTGCGCTCCGCACTCGCTCCCCTGCAGCAGCCTCGCGGGTTCGGGCCGCGCGCCCGCTGAGCTGGCGCGTTCTCTTCTTGGCTGTCTGCGCCCACCCTTCTTTGTCCTCCTCGCCTCGCTGTCTTGTCCCTCGCTGTTCTCTCACACGCACTCCCTCAAAAGCACAGATGCGTGCGCACACGACCACATCAGCCTTGCGGAGCACGGCCTCCTGCAGTCCCCGCACAGAGCAGTCCAGACCCAAGGCGCCCTCCGGGCCGGGGGCGCTTGCTGCTAGCTGGCCTGACTCCGAGAACTATACCACGTGGAGCTCAGAACCAGGGGGCGCCAGAGGAAGGGACACCCCGCTTCTGAGTCTGACAGTGCTTGCTCTCGAGCTGGGAGCTGTGATATTGTTCTGATTCCATCACGCTACAGCTGTCCCGCAATGTGCGTGTGCGTGGAGTGTCCGTGTCTGCCTCTGTTTTTCTTCCTTTCTTTTGAGACAGGGTCTTGCTATGTAGCTCAGGCTGGCCTTGAACTCTCTGTGACCCTCCTGCCTCAGCCTCCCGAGTGTTGCGGTTGCAGGCGTGTGCCTGCCTTCTTGTATGAGGACACATGTGCACACGTAGGTCTGCAGGGCGCTCGCAGGAGGAGGTGTACAGGGAGTGCCAGGGGCTGAGCGTGGACTGTGTGGAGGTCCGCAGAAGAGCCATGGAGAGGTGTCTGGAAAGAACGTTTGCGGGAAGGCATACTTCATGATAGCCAGGAAATGAAGTGGGAGAACATTGTTATTTGCATGTCCGTGCGTAGGAGGGGCTTGGACCAAGAACGGAAAAGAAGCTTTCCTGTGTTTCTTAGAATCACCCAAATCTTCTCCCGGGAGAGTTCCTTAACAGGAACAAGTGTTCAGGGTGCGGCCGCCCTCCAGAACTAGTCCTGCTTCCAAGGAGCTCATTAAATGACTGCTAAAAAACAATCGCCGTGACCCTGGCCACCTGTTACTCGGCCGCAAGGACGCAGGCCCAGTGCCCCCGCCCTGCCTGCGGACCCTGAGCTGTCGCCCCCAGCTGCCGCAGGAGAGGGGATCGGAGAGAGCGCACTGCAGCTGCGGCCTCCACGCCTCTGGGTGTCTCCCAGCAGGCCCAGTAGGGGAAGGCGGTCCGTGTCCGTTTCCCCGCCTCGCCGCGCCACCTTGTGGTCAACTCGCACTATTACCAGTCCTTAATTCCCAGCTCGTCCCCAGCCAGCCCTTCTATGCGAAGGGCCCCAAGCGCTTGGTGTTGTGTTCTGTCCCCGCTGCTCACAGGGAACTCAGTGTAAGGCGTCCCCACATTTTTAAGAGTAGGCAGTCATGAACGGAGCCTGCGGCGTGGCTCCGAGCCCAGAGCTTGACAACAAAGTCTTCGAGCCCACGGTCCAGTTCTGCACGTTTGAGGGAGAGGCAGGCCAGAACAGTCCCTGGCGGTCCTGCCACTCACAGGGGCCCGAACAGCTTGTAGGGCGGCTTCAAGCACTGATTCTCAAAGTGCAGAAGTGCGGTTTCCTAGCCGGCGGCCTGCATGCTTTGCCCCTGGAAGCTGTCTGCGGGTGGGAGACCAGACCTCCCCACAGGGAGGGGCCCGCGTCCCGTGAAGAGATGCAAGTGTGCTTCTTGTCCAAAGACTACCAAAGCTGAATTGAGCAGAGAGCTGCTGGCTCTCCTGGGCCTCACCTCCCGTTCAAGGGCTGTGCTGAAGGCCTCCTGTGCGTGCTCAGGCAGAGGTGCTGCCTGGCTCCCTGAACCAGCGTCACTCACAGGCTGGACTTCGCCACATCATTCTTTGGACTTGGAATGCCTTCCCTACCCCATCTGCATGTGCCTCTAAATGCTAGTCATCCTCAAGTGAACCAAACTGCGCTTCTTCCTTGGGGCTTCTGATCCTGCCACCTGGGGATTCCCCCTTGCCTTCTTGGAAGCCCGCTCCAGGGAAGCACGGAGCCTTGACTTTGGCACATCACCCGTGCTTGGGACTGCACTCCTGCAGTCTGTACCTTCGCGGCAGGTCCCTTGCCAGGTGTGGTACCAAGCACATTAATCTCCATGCAGTGTGCCGGTGCAGTACTATAGCTCGCTAGGTGCTGGGCAGATCCCTTATTGAACAAAAAGGAATTGCTCTCTTTTTCAAAGTTCAGCTTAACTATGGTGTCGCTGGCAGGTGTCCACTGTTCCAAGGTGGGTGGCATGCATTCTCATTGCTGCTAAAATATGCCGTCCTTCTACCGCACTGTGCATCACGCTTCCTGAGGTCTTTCCCACTGGCTTCCCGCCACTAGACAGCGATAACTCCTGAGAAAACAGACTGTCTGATGTCTGCAGGACATGCAGGTGGCAAATAGTAAGAGACCAGTAACTGTTTGATGAGCGAACAGATCCAAAAACGATTTGATAGGTAGAGGCATGGAAATGGGAAAAGAGAGAGGAGCTAAAAAGGATCTTGGAGATTCTTTTAATTCCAAAGTTTTATGACAATGGATTTTTAAACTTTTCTCTTTTTATTTCAAAGAGAAAGTTGTCCAAGCTATTTGGAAAATGATAAGCTGGTCGGGCCAAATGCTGATTTTCTTTTGAAGGGACATCATTTTGCCTTTTCAAGAGGTCTGCTTCTCCCAGGGTATGGGGGATCTCATGTTCCCTGGGCTAAGCCAGGCCCACAACTTGGCAAGATCTCTAGGGCGTTCATTTTTGTCACCCAGCCCCGTGGGAGGGTTGGTGGGTGGGAGGGGAACTGTTTTGGGAAAGAGTGCTGGGGAGTGTTTATGTGTGCTATGAGTCAGGGCCGCAGGAGCACGGAGCCTTCCTCCCTGCCCCTCCCTGTGGGGGTAGTTCTCACCAGCCTCAGGGCGGAGGGTGGAGGATCACCAACTGTCTTTGGAAAGTTTGGGAAGTTTTCTTAGTCATAACTTACACCAAGTCAGCTGGAGCTTTATGTAACTGGGCCTTCACTCTGCAGAGGAACAGGGGTGCGAGGCATCGGAATGCTTCCAGTCTTTCTACAGCAGCTCTCACGTCCCCGGGCCTTGTTCCTGTTGCAGCCCTCCAGGTCCGGAGGCCACAGATGCCTGGACCCATCTGAGGGATAGTCCGGGTCATTTTAATGGAGCCCAGGGGAACTGTGCAGTGCCCTTGGGACCATTCCTTGTTTCTTTCAGTCCAGCCATGATGGGGAAGGGAGCAAAGCCAGCTCTGCATGGCTGGAGGCCACCTAAGGGTGCCCAGTGTGAGCTACAGGGGCCCTTTCCTGCCTTACTTCCCCTCCTACTGCAGCAGGGGCAGCCTATCTCTGTTCTCTTATCTCCTTACTCTCAGTGGTGAGAGGCATCACTGGGCTTCTTGTCTCTGACACTGCAGCCAATTTGCCTGTCATAAGCTGAGTTCCTCCAGAGACAGTTCCAGAGAGCTTGAAATGATATATGTGTGCGAGCATGTGTGTATAAACAGGATCCATACCCGGAGAGAGGAAGTTTCCTGTCTGGGAGGAACATGAATGCCTGTGACTCACCTGGCTGAGGGACCTGGCGCTGCAGCCAAGGGAAGCGATAGCAAAGCCTGGAAGCTGTGCCTTGCTCAGGGCTTCCCTGAAGCACCAGAAGGGGTACTGGAGGAGTCCAGCCTGCCCTCCTGTGTTGCTAGCTGGAAGGGCAGTGGTTCTTCCTTGTGCGTCAGGTCCAAGGAGCTGGGCTGCGCCTTTGGGAAAGATCAGACAAGGCATTGGCCTTGCCAGAGGCAGGAAGCTAAAGCGCAGAGTTCTGGTGGCCTCCCGTTCAGCTGTTCACCAGGACAAGGAGTGGAAGGAATGGAAACATTTGCAAAACCAAGCCAGATCATGAGGGTGCCTTTGCTGGCAGTGAGGATGATTGCGGTGGCCCAGTGGCCCAGAAAGGAGCAAGTTCCCCTGGATAGAGTTACAGAGTCAGGCCTGTGCCAATGAGGATGCACAAGCAGTAAGAAAAGAGCTTTGCAGGGAGGAGCAGCCAGTGGCTTCTGCACCCTGCAGCCCAGTGTTACACCCCTGGCTCCTCAACACCAGGAAGTTCTATGGGTCAGGCGGAGGAGCCAGGAGTGAGTGCCTCTCGGGATGTGGCCAAGTCTGAGTGAGACTGGCCAGCAAAGAATAAGGTGAGGGCTGGGCAGGAGATGGTGGGTGAGGCTGGAGGGTTCCCAGGCCGCATTCATCTCCATCCTGAGTTCTGAGCTATGCCAGCCTGATGCTGCGGGGAAGAGAATAGCAGGAGAGTGCTTAAGCCAGAGAAGACCCAGTGTGTTCCCCAGCTGGGAGCCTCTCTTGACATGCTCTGGATCTCCTGGAACTAGATGCTGAGGCTGGGGCTGCCTCTGAGTTCAAGAAGGAATATGAGCTAGGAAGAACAGAACAGAAGTTCCCCAGCATACCAGCAGGTGCCAGGTGGGGACAGCATGGTGAGGCGGGAGGCAGCAGCCCTGGGCAAAAGCAGGGCAAAGCTTGCCCTGAAATGAGATCAGGCAGCCACCTTTTGCTTCTGCACTTGTGTTGAGACTCTTTTAAACTCCTCTCCTCTCCTTTCCTCCCCTCCCCTCCCCTTCCCTCCCCTCCCCTCTCCCTCTCCTCTCCTCTCCCTCTCCTCTCCTCTCCTCTCCTCTCCTCTCCTCTCCTCTCCTCTCCTCTCCTCTCCTCTCCTCTCCTCTCCTCTCCTCACAGGCTGAGCCCAAGTCTCTGGAATGTCATGCCCTCCCACACCCCTCCTGCCTGCCTTCGAGTTGGGACATTTTCCATTGTTTCTGAAAGATAATTTAGGTCTTGAACAAAGTCTCCAGTGAGCCCTGCTGTGGCACTTGGCACTTCTCTGTGATCTGTGTCCACCCTGCACTGTCCTTGGCTTGAATCCATTTGCACAATTGCTTGATAGGGCAAAATATTCCTTAGCTAACCTTTGTTCTCACCCTCTTTCCAGGTCTCCGAATCCACCGGAGCCTCAGTTGCCTTGCTGGGCTTGCTGGCTGCCTGGCTTCTAGGAGCAGAGGAGGCTACAGAGCAGCGAGGCTGCACTACAACCACCAGAACCACCTTTCGGCCCAAAGGAACATTGGACGCTACCACCTACCAGCGACGTGACCCTGAGCAAATTGCCAGTGCCCTATTTCTGCCTCTGCAGCTAGGGCAGGTTCCCAGAAGATGAAAGGTGAGGCTTGGAATGCACCAAGGTGGGCTTTGCTCTGTGACACCCCACTCAGTAAGCTCTCCATGACAGTGGTTCTTGTTTTTAACCCACAACCAGCCTCACACGTCTAATTTTAACTGCCCCATCCCAGACAGTGCCCCGGGGATGCCGCCTCCTCCTGCCTTTGCAGGGACCAGCCCGTGCCCTGCCCCACTTTCATGCACATAAATGTCCTCCTACCTCCGGTGCAGACGCTCACACTCCCCGCTCAAGGCCTCACTGAGTGCCGCCTCCTTCCCAAAGCCTTCCGTGATCATTCAGCCCACACAGAGCTCTGTCTCATTGTGCTGCCAGCCAGTGCCTTGGAATTTAACATTTAGACCGCAGACTTCCAGACTCGAGAGCCAGAGGAGTTCTTGGGAATGACCCTGGCCAATTGCTCTTAATCAGCAGTGGTGAACAAATGGCAATAGTGCCACAGTATTTTTGTGCCACTCTCCGTGTGGGCATTGCCAGTCACCTATGGACCAATGGGCTGGTGGGCTCCTGCTGCCCCACAAGCTTTATCAACACAGTGCTCTCAGATGTCAGCCCATCACAGTGTGGCTACCACCCATGGCCCAGCGATGAGAAGTTATTCATAACTTCACTGCAGGTAGCTGAAGCCTTTGAGATAGATGCAAGTACTATATCTGCTTCCGGCCAAGGCACCAGAGTTTATCAACTCGGGTCCAATCTTTACTCAGTGCTGCTTATATCATACTAGGGACCACTTTGTTTTATCTTTATCTTTTTATATTCTCTGCCCATTGGTCTTCTTGTCCCAATTAAAATGATCATATTTGGAGGGTATAAACCAACATACTGAATTGTTCTAATATTCTCCACAGTGCCTAACACAAGACAGGATAATTGGGGGCTTACCTGCAGATGTACTGACTTTCCCACAATTCTTCTCTATCTGCTTTTTGTTTGTTTGTTCGAGTCTGTTTCTTTGCTATGCAGTTGAGCTCACTGCATAGCCCAGACTTGCTTAAACGTGTGGTGATCCTCTGGCCTCAGCCTTCTAAGTGCTAGATTACAGGTGTGCATCACCATCACCATAACTGGCATTTCCATACTTCTTGCTCTTCTTTGGAGCTTACCTTGCAGGGAAAATGGGGTTTTAAGGGGGTTCCATCTCTTTAGATCGGATCTGGGTGGTCGCCTTGAACACCTCCTCTCTGCCCATGGTTGTCACAGGTTCTATAATCACCTGGTAACTGGAAGCCAGGCAGGTGGTACTCTAGCTCTGGGTCGTCTGAGAAGGCCCCTGGAAGGAGTCCCTTCTTTCAGAGCTCACCATCACTACTGAGTTGATGGGGCTGGCTGGGGCCCTGTGTGGGGAAAGATGAGAGAAATGGCACTGATGCTCGTCTGTCCTGGGTCCCTGCAGCCAGCAGTGGGTGTTCACAGGGGACAGTGTTCACAGGGACAGTGCTGTGCTTGGAAATGGGGCACAGCCTGGTTCAGAGCACTGATGGTGCTTCCAGCCCTCGTGGCCCAGCTGTGGCCCCTGGGGATGCAGCTCCCAAATGCAGTCCACTCTTACGCATCCAAAGCCAGCTCAGGCCCAGAAACCACCAGCTGCAGAGCCTCCTGGTGCCCATGTCTATGCCCCCGCCACTCTCTTTTAGCCAAGGCCCCAAATTCTTATCCTTCTCCTGGTCTTGCTGCGACCCCAAACCTCTCACACCGGATCTTGTCCAGTTCCATATCGGCGCTTCATCAAGCTCTCTAGTCATCTCACAGGTTTGCCAATTTTCTTTCTAGGGCTTAGATTTTTATTATGTCATCCCCTGCTTAAAAATCATTGGCACCTCATTGTCTTCCAAAGAACATCAAACTCTTGTGCCCAGCTCTGCAGTACTTACATTTAGGGGGTTGCCTATGACTGTGGAGGTGCCCTCTGCATGGAGGAGTGTCCAACATCACCCCTGGCCTCCACCACTCTGCCCCTACCAGATGCCAGTAACAGTCTCCTCCCCCTCTGCTAGTTGTAAGGACCAAAAGGTTCTCCAGATAGACACAGGCCTTGTGTCCTGGGGGCCACATCTGGTGGAGAACCCCTGTCTTGGTGGCTGGTACCTTGCTAATAGCAGCCACTAACAAAGAGGGCCTACCTGGCTGTGGGCTAACAGCTTCTTAGGACATATCTCCCTTTGACAAGCCACTGAGGTGCAGGTTGCTTTGCACCCCCTTTCTCAGACACCCAGAAGGAACCCACTTTTTCTTTTTCCTTGCATATGGGGTAAGACAGGGAGATAATGAGCCACTTCACGAGATGAGAGCAGAAAAGCCTGAGACAGTTAGAGCCAGACGTGATCGGGGCTGCCTGCTGGTGAGATCGATTCTTCCCACTGCACCCTGAGCACCACACTTGCAGGCTGTGCAGTTCTCCACCTAAGATCCCCTAGATCTTGTGCCACTGACTCGGTACTCAGAGCTAGGACAACCGTTTCTGTCTGGTCCTCTGTGAAGGCCCCTGGGCTCCAGCAGGAAGAGGTAATTATTCTTCCTGAGCCTGCCCGTGCTTGTCTGGGGCATGTTCTGTCTGTGCTAACTGTGCAGGTATCTCTTTTCTCGCCTGCCTGTCTGGGGGTGGGGACATGAGGGCAGGGATCCAGCAGTCCTCCTTTGTGCCTCACGAATAAGTGAGGGTGTAGGTGGGTGGCTACTCCTCCGAGCTGGGTAGAGACAACGGTCACCAGAGGCTGTAACAGCAGCTGAATGAGACACCAGTTTCCTTCCTCCAGGCTGGCATGTCCCTCTCGGCACAATACACGGCTCGTGGAGCCACACACCTGGATTCTAACCCCCTCGGTAGGAGCCTCTGAGCTATGGGCAAACTACAGGATGTAGGAGTGAAGGATGCCCGGGGCTTGCTCAGTGCTGACACAAAGCCTCTGCATGTAGAGTATTTACCTAAGGGCCAGAGCATGACGTGAGGGCTCTGCTGGCAGAGGGTGCACAGCCCACCTGTGGTCCCGCAGCTCTGGGAGCACCGGCCATGCTGTGTGTTTCCTAGGGATGCAACACTGATGTGCATATACGGTCATATTGACCAAGAATCCAGCTCCAGCTGCTGCCGTGCAGTCTAGAACTGAGGCAGGCAGACCATCGCCTCACCCCAAGGCAGGGAGGGCACTTGAAGCCAAAGCTCGCTGTCCATTCTGTTTTCCTAGTCTGGGGGATGAGGAGCTCACAGAAAGGGCAGCATTTGGCCTTGCCCGACCGCTCCAGGCCCCACACAGCTGATTGGGGAGAGGTGTCTTGGGGCCAAAGGTGATAGCGGAGGCTGGGAAGGGTCACAGGGAAGCTCAGCACAGCAGTGGCTGATTCCTGTTCTCTGCCAACATCTACAATGATGTCACAACTTTGGGTAAGGAGGCAGGTGGCTGGGCAGAGAAGACAGGGCTGGGGCTCAGACAGGGCTCAGAGGGTGCCTGTGGCACTGTGTACATGGGCACAGGCTTTGGATTCAGGCAGGTGAGTGTGAAGTGGGTGTGCACGCATGGGAGTGACAGGGGCACTCTAGAGGTGAAGAACATGGTGTGTGTCTATACGGCAGCCGTCAGTGGGCTTAGATGGTGACGTGTGCAAATCCAGGCACATTTCTGGGCTCATCACACCTGCAGGTGTACACGTGTGTATAAAGGATGTGATAAAGAGTATGATATCTGTGTGAGCATACCCCGACTACCTGCCCTCAGACCCCACACACATGTGGATCTCTGCACCTCAGGTGGCGTCCACTTCTGAGCCCAAGTTTTAAGTCAGTGCACACGTACAGCATACACAGATCCAAATCCCTCTACATCTGAGAAAGACAAGGGGAGAAAAGGGCCAAGAGACAAGAGATATAAAAATAGCTGAACACAAGCTCTTCAGAAATCAGAAGGCTCTCTGTTCTCATGAGTCACTGATTTGCAGATTGAACACACACACACACACACACACACACACACACACTCACACACACATACACATAAAACACATGCAAACACAAACACCAACACACTGCCAAGCCGTGCTTGCATTGCTGTACATGTCTCCTTCATGTCCTGTGCTCTGTGGCTGTGTCCTCCAGAGGGAAGATGACCTGTGGCACAATGATGCTGTGGGCCTCCACAGAAGGCTCCCTCTTTGAGCCTAGATGTTGTAAACCTCTAGCCAGCCCCCCACAAACACAAATGCATGTTCCCCTCTTCCTTCCTGATCTTCTGGTTCTCTATATTTCCTGCTCTCCCCTCCTTTTGCAATGGGGCTTGGGAGGAAGGGGTGTTCATGCTATCCTACTAAGTTTACGGAACCTTCCTCAGGCAGCCAGGACACTGCAGAGGGCAGACGGCAGCCTGCACAGCGTCTCCGGAGCAGGTCCTGCTCTGGAGAGAGGAGACAGCTCCGGATGCCATGCAAGATTTATGAATGTAGTTTGCTAATTGCGTTAGTGGCTCTGCTAAGGGTGGTGCATGCTATGGCCTAAACAAGGCAAGCCTAGCAGAGGCATCCGAGAGGAGGCAGGACTGAAGCAGTGTGTGTGAGCATCCTGCTGTCCTGGGTCACCTGTCCCTCTCTTCCTTCCCTGTCCTTTGCTAGTGCAAGGCTCTTTCCTGCCTCTGCCAGGCTCCACCTCAGCTCAGCAAGCCTGATTCCCTCCTCTGGGCCCAGCCACAGATAAGAAAATGCCAAGTTAACCAATGCCTCTGAGAATGCTCTTCTCTCATTCTTTCTCCCTTCTTCTCTCTTTTTCTTTTTCTTTCCCTTTGTGTCCTTTACACCTCCATCTACTTTTGTGGAATCCAAATCTACATTACTCCAAGTGTTTAAACAATTTAGAGCCAGGCATGGTGACTGTAATCCCAGCACTCAGGAGGCTGAGGCAAGAGGATCACTGTGAGTTTGAGACTAGCCTGGGCTACACAGTAAGCTGAAGGCCAGCTGACTGCACTGCATAGTGAGAGCCTGTCTCAAAAACAACA